ACACACACACACACACACACACACACACCTCATTGCCATTGGGTGGCAAACCCATGTAGGCTTCCTGAAGCTGTAACTCCCTACAGAAGAAAGCAACCTCTTTCTCCCGCAGAGCAGCTAGTGATTTTGAGTGACCAACCTTGTTAGCAATCTATTATTGCTTACTGAACCGCGTCACCAGGGCTCCTGCATCTATATGTGTGTGTACACACTACACACACACACTTTGTGAGAAAACACAAAGAGCAAAGCAAACCCATTGCTGTCAGGTTGACTACTATTTAGAATAGATCTGCTCCGGGGGTCCTCTTGGCTGCCATGTGGTGTGGAAGCAGACTGTGGGGCTCCTGGCTTGGTTCAAACCATCAGCTCTTAGTGGCTAGTTGCAAATTGCTTGTACCACCCAAGGACCATACACAGAGGGTTTCAGAAAATGATGAGAAAATGTAATAAAAAGAAACTGGAATTTTTCCAAGAATTTTGACGTGTGTGTGTGTGTGTGTGTGTGTGTGTGTGTGTGTGTGTCTTGTGGCACCATGAATTAAGCATTGAAACACTAAGCACACTGAGTGGGTGACTATAGTTTCTTCCCTGGATTTTCCATGTCAAGTTGATTAGGAAGTTGGGCGGGGGGAGGAGGGAGCACATCTTGATTACAATCCTCCAAAAATAACTAAATTTCTCCAAGTGACAGGCTGACTAGAAGTACCTCAAGGCTTCACTGACTCTCTCAAGCTTTGAAAGTATAGTTGACCGCCCCTGGGCTGTTTGGTGTGCATCCCTGGACCACCCTTGGAGGCTGCTTAAAAACCCTATTGTGGGGAGGCATGCCTAGATAGATTAGACCGAGACATGGAAAGAAGTACAAACACAGGCACACCCCAGACTCCACCAGAAGGACGAGGCGCCACACTTCCTAACTTCATCATCCCTTTCCTGGAAGTTGCTAGCTCTCTCTTCCACATCCTTTAACGAGGCATCGGAGACATGAGTGCCTGTGCCCTTCCTCACCCTTCTGGTAAAGGGGCATCCTTAGGGCTGAGCGAGAGACACGAAAGGATGCTGGGATATGCATGACAAATAGTACAACTTTAACTAAATACCCTGCTGACCGTCCGTGCTGTTGCTGCTTTCAAGTCAGTTCTAACTCACAGATCCTATGTGACATCGTAGGGTTTGCTTGGCTGCCACCTGCATAGAAGCGGATGGCCAGGTCTTTCTTCCGCACAGCCACTGAGAGGGGCTGACTCATCAACTTGTGTGCTTGGGAGCCATGCACTTAGCCAGGTGCACCAGCAGGGTCCCTTACACTGTCAATGAATAGGAACAGAGAAAACCATGGGTTGGAGAGTACTGCATTTACAGAAAACAGCTCTAGCCATACCAAAGTGGAAAGATCGTTCACAGAGGTGCGACTTTATGTTGGTTCCTCACTTCTGAAAGTAACTGGGAAGTACAAGCAGTGGCCTCCCTTGCTATCCTGAGACACTTGGTTCCATTACCTCTGATGTGTACAGCTAAGTTCTTAGTTTCATGTCTGGATCCTTCCCTGAAATTCCCCTTTGCTATCACATGAGGAAGAAGCTCTGGTGGTGTGGTTGGTTACAAATTGGACTACTAGCCCCAAGGTCATCAGTTCAAACTCTTCGGCCATTCTAAGGGAGGAAGATGAGTCTATCTGCTCATTACAAGTTGGAATGCACTCAACGGCAGTGGGTTTAGGTTTTGCTTTAATTTCTAAAGAACCGGAGTCCCTGGATGGAGCAAACAGTTAAGGCACTTGACTGCTAATTGAAAAGCTGGTGATTCAAGGTCACCCAGAGATACCTCAGAAGAAAGGTTTGGAGATCTGCTTTGAAAAAACAGCATTGAAAGGACTATTGTAGAGGTGTAAATACAGGCATGTACATATGTAAATATATTGATATAGAATGATAGGGAAATAGAT